ACGACCTGTCACACACCTTGGCTTGTCTTTACACGTCTAACTCTTCGGCGCCCCTTTAACTACCTGACGAAGAAAACTCTGCTGAGTTTGCTTATTGATTCTACAAGACTTGTAGAATACGACTGGGATTGACAACATGGAGACTACACTCTTGGTTGTTTCTGGCTCCATTTTGGGTTGCACATATATCTACAAGCTTGTTTCTCATTGTTCACACCACCAACAAAGTATGGACCTGGGTGTTAAATATTTCTTCCCTCAGCAATTTTATCGGGAAAGGGACGCAGTTGCTTGATTTTCCTCTTGTCATTTATTTTGTGTTCGTCAAATTCAATCTCTAACTCATGTGCAATGCTGGATTCCCCCTATCCCACTCTAAAATGCTGGATTTTCCATTACGGGATGTTTGTGAAGGATATGTATGTAACCATGTGTGTGCCATTGTAGGGGTCGTTACAATACGTTTACACCCGCAGAATTGCACTTAACGCGGCGTGTCTGTGAGCTAGACCATTACGTTTTCGTTTTCGGGCTATCGGTGTAGCCCGTAATGATAATCCCGTCCTACTGCACTAAGCCATCAGGCCGTAGAGTCCAAATTCAACCGACCCGGCGAAGCAAAACATGTAGTTCGCTTCATGTGCATACGTCGATTTTAATGCATTCATCAATACATGAAGCCTAATAGAGTCTCTTTAGCCTCTTCTTCCCTATTACGAATTCCAACCTTACATCCGACATTTTGTACGGTGGTCAGCACTTCCAGGTTTAATCGATTCTCGTATGTGACGTGCCAATTAACTCATCGTAATTCTTAGTCACTAAATACGTCCGTCTTTTGTCTTCGTTTACTAACTACTAGTAAATAAATGTGCTAGTCTCAGTGCTAAACATAATAAATATTAATTAGCATAGTCTACTAAAATTCTTTTTGTTAATTCTTTACACTTCATAAATTTGTAAACTTGTAATTGACATTTTCAGACAAATTCACATTGCTAATGAGCTTAGACAAACCTTCGATCCTAAAACATGCCTGTTCTTACCTTTTCACCATCACAGAGAACCGAAGAGAAGTCGAATTTACTGAATACACTATAATGCCAGTGCTAACTTGATCATGTGTATCTTCTATACAAGCTACATGTATTCCTTTGTTGTGACCCGTACTTAACCCAGTGGGTATGTACGTACAATAAAGGTCTTCATTCATACAAATGCAATGTTTTATTTCTAGTAGCAGCTGATCCATCGCAGTCGGACATTGTTTTCAATATAAAAGAAGACGCCGGTTCGTGGTTCAATATAACCTCGGTTATTGAACTTTACTTAATCATTCCAATATTGTCTAATTCCGATTGATGTTGGGCCCTCACTGACAGTAATATTAGATGTACCAAGGAGGTTCAATTCCTGGTTGTACGTTGCAAACAATACCTATATATTGCGTGCCAACTGATTAGCTATTATCCTGCTTGAACCTCGCTTTTCGTCGGCTCCTAGCCTCCTTCGCAGTCTTGTTGGGCGTCGGCGTTATTTTTTCTCTGAGCGACGCGAGTAATATGCGGCCGCGAGGGACGATTTGCTGCCGAGGGAGTTTTTGCCACGGAGAGAAGGTTTCGTGGACTAACTAGGGAGCCGGACAAAGAGCTTGCCCAAACCAGAATGACGCGTACTCTGTACTAGTCTATAGCCATCTGAAGACTAACATTTTCATAACTTGCTTCATAACTTGTAGTTGAAAGGTCGGAAAACGTATATCTTATCACTCAAGACAGGCTTAAAGGGGCTATAAGCATTCACAAAACTTTGAAATGTTTCTGAAAGTAAAGACGTATTTGTGCCGTGTCTGTCTTTCTAACGTATCTAGCTGCTGATATGTGCAATTCTCAGCATGTCTCTCTCCGTTTGGCGTCACCAGGGCACACTGAAGTAAACCTAGTTACCGAGACATAAGTCGATTCCCCGACTCCCTTCCTGCAGGCGAATGTCGTTATGTCTGGGTTAATAAATGGTACTTGAGGGAGCAGGTGGTCCTGAGATGTTGTGGCAACGGTGAGGGGGTTGATCTTAATGTTTCAGCTATCTTAGCTGTCTCAAAAGTACGAAAACGCTGACCAGGTCATAAATATCGATACATCTGTGCCAGTGTTAGAGCCAATTCAACTTTACACTTTGAGCCTTTAATATTCACTTGAAATGAATTTTATTAACCTAATACTCGATGTAATTATAACGTAGCGCACGTACCGCTAAATTGGCCAGAAATAGCCTATCTGTAAGCCCGAATGAGTTAGGGTTAGGATCAGGCACGGTTCTGGATAGTCTACGCGTATCCAAGAACACAGATTTGCCTCAGGCACGGTTCTGGATACGCGTGGACTATCCAGAATCATGCCTGAGCGTGGTTTTGGATAAAAGACGGTTCTGGACGGGCCCTCCATTCAGCAAGGGGCGCTAACGTATGATGAATAACTGGCTTAACGAGAAACACTTACAATGATACTCGGTTCAGCAGCATTTGATTTGCGATCTATTTTAAGCCATATGCTGACGTAGATAGACTATAGGTACACACAGAAATGAGAACATATGGATATAAATCTATGATAAGAGTGCTCTTTAAATATAGAAACTGTAAAAACATGTATGATATATTCTAAAGGGCGCATTTGTCATGTGCATCGCCCGTATCACTAAGGTAAACTTGGAATGGAAGAGAACCACTTTGGAGTGAGTCACTGGCGCGCATTTATGATTTCTTCTTTTATGTATTTCATGCTATTTCTTCACGTTTGAGTGCATTTCTGGTAAAGAAGCATGTCTATCTGTCTTTCCAAATACTAGTATGTGTCTTTCTGATATGCCAGGAAAACACCATACCATTTCATTTCATTTATTGGTGATGCAACAGTGCATGACAATGGTAGCCAGACTGGTAGCGACTACCACTGATACATGCAGCATGATATTAAATACAATTCATTACAATATTTGGGACAATAACATTTTACGTGTACGTGTATATATCGAATATTAGGGTAAATAGCACCGGCGAAATATCTTTATCCTGAATATCAGCAGTCTTTTCATGCAGCACTCAGCGAATACGCTGACAGTTAGCTTTCTCAATTGAGGGAAGTAGGCGACAGTTTTACGCTTTTCCTTCCAAACGGCTGTATGGGGACTCCGTCTTAATCAAATCTTCAAGTTGTCTTCGATTCATTTATATCGACGTTGCAGGTGGCACCCCGGCACTTTAGTTAAGGTTCTAACGACCCACGGGAAAAATAAAATAACTTTCCCGCCAAACCACGTCGTCGATTCGGAGCCTTATTGGCGTTTCGCAGTCTGCAAGATCGTTCACATTGAAGGTGATATATTGACAGAAAGTAGAGGAACCAATTTCTGAAAGAGGCGTGGAGATGTGATTTCGTTCAACCCATCTTACCGAAAAGGTTTGATCTTGATATTTTGATAGAGGGGGTCCTTCTGCATAACAGACTATGTTTTTTTCTCAAATTGTAGTATCACGCTCCTGGTAGCGCCAATTAAAGATGTATTGTGCATTGGGCTCAGATCTAAGCATATATGATCATGTATATTTTCAAGGGCAACTGGACAAAATTTAAACATCAATATTTTTCCTGAAAATTGATACACTGGTACAAATTTTGGCATTTTCCAGATTGCAAAAATGTCATTTGTTATATCTGTCACCGTTCAGGCGTAAAAGGACTTTGTGATAAGCGGCAAGAATCGATAGACGGACGGCCTTATCTCCAGCAGATATCGGTAGATAAGACCGTGGTGGTTTTCTCCCTCGACCCCGGATTACGCCTAGAGGGACCGCATGGCAGGCTGCAGGGGCCGGTGGCGAGCGTTCGCTTAGTTTGACAGTTGATGATGAATTTCAGATCATTTGGGTGTAATACCAGGCCTCCAGAGCCCCAAAATGTACGTTTTTTGTTGGTCTGAAAATGGCAAAACAAGAATTTCTAAAAGCCCCAAGAAAATGGATCGACCACAGGTCAAGAATTAGAAGTAGCGAGCGTTCGTTTTAGTTTAGCAGTTCTGCAAATCAATCAACATTCCGGCTCCGGGAGATTTTTCGACAGATGACAAAATCGATAGTTTACTCACTCGCCAATTAATCACCACTTGAGACGAATTCCCTGTGCTGCATTTTTAAAGGTCGCGGCTGTTGAAGCCGACTGTGAAATGATAATACAGACGCTTTGGCGAGACCATTAAGGCTAGTGTGGGTGCGGAAATATAGGACATCTGCGCCAGTAAAAAAAGGGCGATTAATAAACTCATATATAGCCATAAACTTTACAGAGAAAAGATAGCTTATTAAATGTCAATGTAAAGTATTGAAAAAAATTGGTTTAGATCTCTGCAGTGCTGAACGGCCATTGGGGAAAATACTAGTATAAGTGATATAATATGAGGACTATAACTATTACTCAAGCAGTGTACACAAACCCGTGAAGTCAATCGACCCCAGCATATCCGGAAGTTGGCTTCTTTATGGACCATTCCATTCATTATTTACAGGTGACCTAAAAGTTTTGCACAAAGAAAAAAGTACAGTTTGGGAACATTTCGACAAAGATGCCGTTGAAAAAATGTATGAGTAGAACAGGTGTTGTAATCTGAGCTAGGAAGGAAAAATTGGCCGAGATAGGACGGTTTGTTGACAAACTTCGCTACTCACCCGGAACTATTGAATGGTTCATTCCACAGCTGAATGAAACAGTTACGTTTAGTGTCTCCCCAGCTATTAAACTCACGAAAAGAAGGATAGAGTGTAACAGCCGGGTTCAAGCGCCACAACTGGTCAGTCTAGTGGGTCCGGGCCTTTAAGCCTTGCGGTTAGTGTGTTGGGTTCGTGAGCTGGCGGCCCGAGGTTCGAATCCCGGGAGCCAGGAGACTGTACTACTCGCCCCTTTGTGTTTAAATTAAAGAGCATTTCTGTGTTTTGTCTGCCCTCACAGGATGGAGCCGTACCTGAACTTCAGCATCACCACCACCTGGAACAGCACACCGATCGCACAGCCCCTCAACTTCAGCCTGGAGTCGGGGGAGAGGCCGGGGAGCACCCCCACTGACCCGCCCGTACCGGGGCTCACGGTATGTATACATCACTCTTACCATTGGATGGTGGGGTGGAAATAGCCTCTACCAGGCTTCAGATTGGCGTGAAAGAGTAGAAATTGTCCAAATAGACAGATTGCCAGAGCTAAAAACTATACTCCTTTAGCGAACCAACTTCCCTGCCGTTTAACTATCTGTCCACTTGGCCAATTTCTACTCTTGCCAGCAACCGCTGAAGCCTGGTAGAGGCTACAGCCCCGCCCACCTCCAAAAAAGTAGAAACAACACCACTAACAGAAATTGCCATCCTGTCATTGGTTAAACTGCTTGTTGTGCTGGACAACTGTACTTGAACCTTGCTTGAAGAAAAACAAGATCATTATGTTTTAAACTTTTATATCTTAGACAGTAAACAATAGCCAACCACCTGTTATCAAAAATACAGGTGGTTGACTACTATGCAGTTCCCATCTGGACCAAAAAAAAGATACTAGTAAAACAGACGTTTTCAACTGAGGTGAAGCATGAAACAAGTCATGTTTTTCTCCACCTGCTGTAGGTTAACATGGATCTGCCGTTCTACGGAGTGGACCCTGCACCAGCTGGCCCTCCAGGACAGCCTTTCGACCAACTGTGGAACTACGAAGGTAGACCCTGAAACACTACTCTGTTAGCACATCAGCAGAACGTAATGCACCTGCGCGAAACCCATAATGTATTGTGCATAGCTTCATAGCAGACGTGCAATGTCCAAAATGCTGATGCAACATGGAAATTCAGGTCCGTGCTGGTGCGCTACATTTAATGTGCTTGCTGTGTCTCACTTTTGATCCTCCCCTTTAATAGAACTCTTTCGGTCAGTGTGACCACCCTCCAGCATATTAACCCACCAGCAAGGTTGCAAATGCACTAAAAGTACTCTTATCTCCAGTGCCAGCTCCTATAACCTCACACCAAGTCATGCACACATGCTGACAGGGACCATCTGATTCATCGATTGTATGGACTAGAATCACTTGAGTTGTATAGCTCAGTCCTAGTTAGTTCCCTTAGTTCTATCTGGGTGACCCATTTAATGAAAGATATGTATGGCCTAGTCTCTAATGAGACATACTTCATTCAGAAAACATTTTACGCTGTTTGTATCATTTAGCACATGACATCCGTTTATCATACCTACCCCAAGTATTTGATATGAGGTTGTTAAGGTAAATTGATTGATGAAGAAGCAAAAAGCACTCTCCGTGGAAGATAATTAGGTCGTATTATTGTTTAATAAGAAGTCTGCTTTCCTTCACATTCTGACCTATTTTCCAACAATGGCCCTTAGTTATACACTAGATGCTGGTAAAATGGGAAAATTACTGCCTAATAATTGACTAAGAGAAAAATTTGACTGGGACAGCAAAACTAAATGTTATTATGATAAGTGACTGTTGTACAGTCTCCATCCCCCCATAGTTACATTTTGTAATACCCTTCACTATAAATTGATTTTTTTCTCTTTTAGTGTTTGAGATTTTCTTTCTTGGACCAGAAGATCGGTACCTAGAGGTGGAATTTGGGCCGTAAGTATGGATTATCATAGTATGGATTAGCATAGGGCACTGTCTTTAAATTGATTTATGTATTTCTTTGACTGTGCTTGACTGAATGCTCTGGGTGATAAATTGAAGAAACTTCAGGCTTGCCATAACTACATGACCATAGTGCTTCAACTGGATTCAAAGACAAAGTTCAGAATAAAATAGTAGAAGATGCTAAACCTCTACATGGTACATTTTTAAAAAGAACCAACACAGATGTATTGATTCTCATGAAGTGAATTATTTATATCTTCAGATATGGACACCATCTAGTCCTCCGTCTGCAGGGATCCAGGCAGCTGATCGAGGTAAGTTAGAACTTACAAGTACTCTGATACTTTATTTGAGCAAATGACTGTAGGATTCATATCAAATCTTGTATGGAAGCTAACAAGATGTTAAAATGCTTTTTCAGACAAAACTTCCCCTGCAGTACACCGCCCGGAGAACAGGTAGCCGCTGGACGGGCCAGGCCTTCATCCCGTGGGACTACATCCCGCCACAGCTGGGGTGGATGAACGCCTACGGGATCCACAACACGTCCAACAGCGAGCGGCGCTACCTTGCCCTGTACCCCGTCCCCAGGGAGGACCTGGCTGCATCCGGAGAGCCAGACTTGTAAGTCGTTTTGTGCTTAGCATGAAAGTTCATGTTGTTTTCTTGGTACACAATGTTAGCATTGCCAACCAGTGTTCTAGCCAGCTTCTGTCTTTCCTGCATTTCATTTGACCAAATTTTTGGAAATGTTGCTTGTTGAATGGGGGGCAATGGGGTGTGCAAAGTATGACCCAACAATTCCACTACCAGCAGAGTCAAAACCTCAACCTTTTAGTTGGTGTTCCAAAACCATTACATGAAGCCTCCGGTGTTGGGGAAAGTGTGGGAATGTGTCGTGCTAGATGAGAAAAAAAACATGTTCAATGACCGCCTGACAAGCATCTCTAAAAGGCCTCAACATCAAACCTGACTGAAGAGATGCTTGCCTAAAAGCTGCAAAAGTGGTGCAGAGTGACCCTGACATTCATACATCTGGGAGTAAAAGAGATAGATAGAGATGAAGCATGCACTTGTCAAACATGTAGGGGCTTTTAGTGCCATGTTCACGAGTGCTGCAAGTTCTCACGTGGGCCCTAGAGATGTCCTGGTGAGGATAGAGCTCAGCAAGATACTTCTGGGCCCATCATAAGTCAGACACGTTTTAATCCTGTCTTGGTATTTTTAACAACAAGTACATAACCAACATGCTACAAATACATTTTGCCCATGTGACATGCCACCTAGCAAGGCTTGAAGTACTTTTGATATATTTATATTATCATATTTTCATATTACCATGCCTGACTATTTTTAGCCTGCAAAATTACGTCGTTACATATTTTTTGTGCAATATGAAAAATAGCTCTAATCTCTGCTTTGAGTTTTGAGCATCTGAAGAATGTCATAAATACCTCCAATTTGTTCAAGTGCATGTAACATTAGTAATATCAATATATTGAATTCTGCAATTTTCTTTCCAGTCACAGGCTTGGCTACTTCAAACCCCTCAATGTCAGTGTGCTGTATCCTGCCGGCTGGAAGCAACCGTTACCGGAGAGGTGGGCAACAAACAGAGTACCGGCACCTTTGCAGGAAACACCAGTACAGGAAACACCTGTTCAGGAAACACCTGTCCAAGAAACACCTGTGCAGGAAACACCTGTCCAAACACCTGAACAAGAAACAGCTGATCAGGAATCACCAGTGGAACAAACATGATTCACTTCTCTGTAAGAGATTGTTTTCTTTCTTGTTCAATGCTTAATGACGTTGGCTACTCTTTATGATGATTTTGAAGGTGAATAGCAGAGATAGACAAGTGTCAAAGGAGGGCACACCTTGGTAAGAGGTACAGTGACAGTGCTAAGATGACACTTTCTGTTGCTTTGCTTGTTTGGCATGGTATGGGTCCTATTGAAAAACAAACTTCAAAAGTTATATCAAATAGGTCTCTCTCAATTGAGTGGTTATTGTCAGATTCTTAAAGTTTTTACAGTTTGACAACTTACGACGTTTATTATAACACTGGAAAAAAGCTGTCAGCTAAAATACTTTAGCAGAATTTTAGTTAAAAGCAAGTATTGTAATATTGCAAGCTAGTGTTTTATTTCAACTTATATGTCATGTTTTGAGTTGAAGTGAGTAGGTCTAGAATTTCTCTTCATCCTCAGCAAAAGTGCAATCATGAAAGTTAATGTTAGACAGCAACTTCTAGTTCTAATCTTTTACAACAATGAGAACATTTGGATGTTTGATTCACCATGTGTCAATGTAATGTATGATCATTTATCTCCATCATGTCATGTTGTATACACTATAAAAAACAAGAATGCAATACAGGCAGTTTGGTAGTGCCAAATTATGTGTGATTACGTAATAGTATGTATTTCATACAATGACATGTGTAATGTAAGATTTTCATAAGTACTTGTAGTGGTTTTGTTCTAGAAGTTGAACGTTAACCAGTGAAAATTCTATCATGTTTTTTTGATGGTAAGTAAGGCTTAATCATTTGATGTTTTGACCAAATTACTATATTTAGGGCAATGCATTACTGTTTTGAATATGGAATTTTTTGGAGTGTGCTGCTGTAATTAGAGTGAGTACAGTAAGAGTGATCTACTGTAAGGCATAGAATGTCTATAACTCTGTTTTTATAAAATAGACATACAGCATCAAGACAAAAGCTTTGCAAAATATCACTTATGGTATAACATTAGCATATCTTAAGGTATCAGCTATTTCCCTTGCAGTCTACTATGGGCGATTTGAATTTGCATAGATGTGGCTTTTTCAATTATGTTATGTGGTGTATAGATCCAACTTCTAATATACCCAAGAAAGGCGTTTAGATATAGTTTGTTTTTAAACATGTGTGATGTTTTAATGCTATTGCTGTTGCTGATATTACCTTTCAACTGTACTTCCATATCATTTCCTTTGTGATGCTAAATAAAACTTGCTTTTTGACAATGTAGCAATATATCAATATAGCAATCGGTTCATTGCATATGACAAAAGGCAGTAAACAAACAAACAAACACACACATAGGTAAACATGTTTGTATTGGTGCTGAATGCTATCCACACAACTAGACACACTAGTCCTTGATGCTAAATGCCATCCACACATATAAACATGACTGTCCCTGGTACTGAACACACACAGCAAAACATGCCTGTCCTTGGTGCTGAACACCATCCACACAAATGTAAACTCGCCTGACCACACAGGCAAACGTCCCTGTCCTTGGTGCTGAACACCATCCACACACAGGCAAACGTCCCTGTCCTTGGTGCTGAACACCATCCACACACAGGCAAACGTCCCTGTCCTTGGTGCTGAACACCATCCAGCGGCATATCAGGAAATGACAGTGCACATATCTGCATACGACATTTCACAATTAGCCTGCAATCAGCAGTAACGTTACCTTTTTACCACCCCGTTCCGTTTTCTACATGCGCACGTTTTATTCGACCCTACGTTACAAACGTTCCTTCTACAGTGCAGTAACAAACATCAAGACAGCAAATCATTGTACACAAATAAACAAAAGGTACCATTAAAGTGTAACAACAAAGGATTCGAGAAATCGCGTATTTCACTTTGGTCCGACCTATCGTCGAGTTTGCCAGTCCCGTATGGGACCCTCACATAGCAAAGGACATAAACAGGCTAGAACAGGTGCAGCGGAGGGCCGCCCGCTGGGTTAGCCAACGCTTCAGACGCACCTCCAGCGTAAACAACATGCTGGAAGAGCTCCAGTGGACCCCACTTCGGGAGCGGCGTAGGTTGGCTAGACTTACAACGTTCTACAAGTATCACACCGGTGCACTGTGCATAAACATGCAAATAAGACCCACCCCCAATGTCCAGACAAGGGCCACTAGACAGTCACACCCTGCTGCCTACAGAGTGCCCCAAAGTAGGACCTCCTACAGACAGAACTCCTTCTTCCCGCGAACAATACCTGACTGGAACACTCTGGACGCAGATATTGCCCTCTCCTCCTCTCTGGAGGAGTTTAGGGGCAAGCTGTGAAATCTGACCTCCTCGGCATGCACCCACCACCATAGGAAGCAGAATCTTCAAACCGCTGAAGGCGGCTTCCTCAACAGAAAGAAGAAAAAGAAGAAGAAGAAGGAACGCCTTCCCATCAAACCCCGACGTCAAGGTCATCTGAGGTCAAATACGTCAGAATAATGGTAACCTTGGTAAAACGTTCCTTGACACTTGTTAACACAAACAGAAGACAAACTGGGCATAATCACTTCGGACTCCGACCTATTCACACACATTAAGCAGATTACTTCATCCCTACACAACCGACAACATCCGAAAATAGTTTCTAACCAACGACATGTTTAAGAAGTTGATCGGCGCCGATCCCGAATTGGCATGGAAGCTTGCCGGGTCTGTGATGGTCTCGGAGCTCCTGGGTGACCACGTGGTCACCGTATCCACCCTGGAAAACGCGCACTGTTTCGGACTGGCCACAGTCCTGGTCAAGGACCACCAGTCCTTCGTGGAAAAGGCTGTGCATCACCACGCCTCCTTCCGGGCCGTGGGCAAACTACATGACTTGTGCGTCTACTTACCGGAGTGTATAAAGTTGGGCCTCGAGCCACAAACGGACAAATACTGGAAGAAACCTCCTCCGGGAAAGATGCTCTCGATCGGCCACAGTTCTCACAACAAGGGGAAAATGATACACATGGAGGTCACAGACGTGGAAAAACAGACGATTTTCTTGAATCCGAGTGAAGAGGTTCGGTTAAGAGACGATGACGGGGAATTTGGCACGGTGAGCTCCGTGTACATCATTACAGAAGTGTTCTACGCGACTGGCCTGGACGTGGAAGTGAGCGTGGACGGCAGAAAAGGCGCGTTTTCCACCGACAGTGAGATCCCCATCGCATTCAGGTACCAGAAGTTCAAGTTGGAAGATGACGGTGTGATAGGGGGTCAGTTGGAGTCTAATATCAAGAAAAACAGGTGAGACGGTACGGTGGAATCTTGTTCATGTTGTTCTAGAACTTCTTAGTGTTTCACTTGTGTGTTTATTCGAGCATTTTCTGTTCTGCCACCGCCCAGATATGGTCCACAATGATCGGATGGAAAATGTCTGTGCTTAAAACATCGTTTTCAATGATCACACGACCACAGTCAACAGGAAAGACAACAAAGAAGCATTTACAAACATATACTATTCTTTGTTGTTCTCCAAACATCATTTTTGATTATGTACAAGAAAACAATCGACACGAAAGACAACAAACAAACAAACAAACAAGCATTTACAAAGATACACTTATTTTTATGGCTTCTACATGTTTTCAAAGGACATCTCGCCTGCTTGTGAAAATGACCTTCGCGGAGAGACAGAACCTTGTCATGAAAGCCCAGACACAGGACGCGGTGGTCGCCATGACGTCACCGCCACATGAGAACATACCTGTAGTGGCAGAGGTTCTGCCGGGTGAGTAACGTTACAGTTCAACAAGATTAAGACATTTTGGAAGAAAGTTTGAGCATACGTCCTATCCTATCTATAATCAGTTCATTGACCAACGTTGAATAGTCATTTTGCTTCAAACCATTTGTTATGGGTTCACCACACCACGAAGTGGTGGTGAACCCATATTGCGTTTTCTGATGTTTCTTCTCCTTCTCCTTCTTCTTCTCCTGCCATTTTTAAATGGATTCAGCTTCTTCATTTTAGGGCCCAAGGTCCTGAAATTTGGTATGGAGGTACAGTGGGCAAATACCCCTAGGCGTTTTTTGAATTATTGTGATACAGGCTTTTAGAATGGTTTTATTTGAGTTTTTTGGCTGTGTTATAGCAAATGTATTACTGAGTTAGTGTGCAGTGTTACCACATTTGGGCATGAGTCATCACAATGGAATGCAGGGCATCAACCAATAGGCATGCAGCTTTCCTCTATTCTCCTTGCTGATTGGCTGTTGGGATTTAACTGGCTTAACTTAATTAATACCTGCTCAGATCCATTCCATACTGACAGTAGGTCTGTATTCAAGTGTTTTGGTAGGTATTTTAGGCTTTCCTGCTCCAGCATTGGAATGCGGGGCATGAACGCTTCTTTTTTTCTTGTAAATCAACAGTTTGCATTATGCAATTAAAAATCCGAACCAATAATGTAGGGAATAGCTATCCAACTGTTGTAGTCTTAGTTGTATGTTACTTCATACTATAGTTATATCAATGTAAAGCATTGTTTTCCCTTGTGTTTCTCATTCTTTCCCTGCCATATGTGGTGAAGCCATTGCTGTATTTGCTCCAAAGCAAATGTCGGCCTTTCTAGTTTTGAACGACTTTACATAAGTTTGTACATCCCTGTCCTTGGTGCTGAACACTATCCACCAGCAAATACATGTTGCTGAACTCACCCCATATCATGCCAAAGGCAGAAAACTAACACATACACAGGTAAACACACCTGTCCTTGGTGCTGAATACCATTCTCACACATGTTAACATGCCTGTTTTCAACGACGTCATATACTTTTAAAAAGGCGCTTTACAATTGGCATCAACTTTGACCTGTAGCTTGTCAGATACATGAAAATAACGCGCGATATTTAAAAAAACTACAAAGACAAGTTTATTTAAGAAAAACTTTGTCCTTTTGTATTACAACAGGCATGGTTGACGACAAAACCACGTCATGCTCACCCCCCAGCGGTAATAGATTCGTAGGAGGCCAAGCATGGGCGTGTCCCAACCAGGGCACTGCGCATGTCAGCTATGACGTAGAGACACCCAGACTCAGAGTTCGAGGTACAGTAAAATCATTTTCAGAACCTTCGATGAAAGTTAGATATCATCCAGGTAATGAGATGCACAAGAAAACTGTAACTCAAGCAACTGAATAGATTTTGTTAGACATTTCAAAATCACTACATAACCATTGCATTAAAACTAGGAAACTGACTTCCTGTTATTCCTGCTCATATCACAGAAGAGACGGGTGATATGGAGGTAGAAGATGTGGAGGAAATCAACCTGGTGACTTGAAGGCCACTTTATTCACATAAAATTTCGACGTACTTTTGTAGGGTCAATGTACAGCCTGTGTAGCTATAGCTTTTATTGACAATCGTATACTGGATTGTTGTATTTTCTTACCTAGAACTAAGAACTACTAACATGTTACAAAGGGTAACAATGAAAACTGAAAATTTCAAATCTAGTACATGTAATTGGTATTTGCCATTGCCTCTGGCGAAACAGTATGGTGACGTACGGATAAATTCATTGGTGTTCCCACACAGCAAACATTGCTAAATTATGATTGGCCAGGGCAGCATTGATTACCAAGAATGATTTGCTGCATTTATTCTCTTGACTGCTAGAGGTCGCTCTTATTATATCCAAAGCAAAATCGTGGCAATGTCGTCATTTTGTTATTCCGCTTCGTGAAGCTCTTGGCAGATAGCTAGATAAACCAGATAAAAGATAACAGCAGTTTTTAATCAATTTATTTTCTTCATTCTAAAAATAGTAGTATGCCATGCACGAAGTGATGACTAAGTCTAGAATATTTTACGGTATAAACTAAAGGAACCTCAGTAGTACTAAAAGTTACTTATCTATACCCTGACCAAACGTTTAGCCATTCAATAAAAGCAATTCAATACACAAGATAAAGTATTGTGGAATAATGAAATGCTTGCATAAAATATTATAGATCAAGTTCATTTGTATGTTCTAGAAGCATGTACATTTGTGTATTTCCAAGTGCTTAAAGCAGCAACTACACAGGCAGGCCATAGTCCCATGGATGGCTGCTAGTACCAGATAAATCCCAGCACCCCTACAGCGGATCCAGACCGAGGAAAGTGGGATTATCTGGATCAAGCAGACACATGGGACATGTACAGGCCAAACCCTAATCACTACACCCTAGCTTGTCCCTGCCAGCTTACAGATAACACATAACTGGTCTTACACTGTCTACTTTCAGTACAAGGCAAAGCAACTGCTACAGATGTTCTTATGGGATGTAATACTAACCGTAAGGTCTAATTGGTTGTGACTACATGTACAACATATACATCATCTGCAGCTATGTTCTAATAATATATCTCTTCATATACATGTTATCTGTTTATGGATTTAGACATTCTTCTTTCAAACATCACAGAGAAAGTGTAATAATAGCAAATGTTGTTGAATATAAAGCAGAATATAAGGAAAAACAGTAATATTTCAGTAAATGTGCACAAGCCTGTGTGTAATGTCTGTGATCGCACTGATCGGCAATTCAACCTTTAGAGCTTTGATAAATTTTGCAAACATACTTGTATTTCATTTCATATCAATATACTAAGACCTTAAAAACGGGCATACTACTAGTACTTATGACGACATACATCAAATTCATAGTTAAAAGGGAACATCATCAAGTTACTCAAACTGCAGTAAACCACGGTGATTATGCAGTTCACCAGTTCAGAGTCCAATGTAAGTCTTGTATTTCTCCATTCTGTTATCTCCTTTTCCAGTGAGACAAACATTGCACAAAATCTATTCTCTAAGTGGAATAAGAACACCTTAAAACACACATATATGTTTTGTTTCTTCACTTGCATAAAGTTTAGCTAAAGATGTGCTCAAAGATAGGATTTGTGCAGTGAAACTGTACCACTTCACGGACACCTCAGTACACTGTCATCACTGTTCACCACAGAGGACTCTCTTACCAGCGCCTTGTTGGCTCGCAGGACAAACTCGTCCTCGGCCACGTCTGCGAGAGACGACACGCAGGGATCATGTTCACGCAGCGCTGGCGGATGGAGGGCGGAGGCACGGTGGATCCGGGCCGAGCGGCGCACCGGGGTCACCACGATCGGAGCCACCTTTGCTACCGGGACTGCCGCAGCTTTCCTGAGCACTCCATGGGCCCTGGAATAAATTTTGAATTAAGCATTAACAACATTACCCCAGTGCAAGTGCCAGAGTTTCATCATTACTGTTGAAAATTTATCATATCAATTCAAAAAAAATATATACAACCCTTGTCACACACATATGTTAATGCCCCTTTACAGCAGGGCACTTGGGATATATTTGTGCTATTGCAAAGTCTGTGAAGCCTGTCTTTTCTGACAAGACCAGTTATACTCAACAGTCATGAAACGAAGAATGTGTATCAATTGTTGTGGATTACATGTACTAATAATCAAGACCTCTTACACCATTACATTACCATTTTAGAACATAAAACAACACATGTGAGTGATATATACTTGCCTTCTAAAGAGTGGTGTGACTGAGTACATCTTCATGGAGGAGTCAAACGCTGCTCCCTGGTCTAACCTGGAATACAGAACAAGTCAAATTACAGTCTACACAGTACAGTACACTGTAGCTCTTTGGAAAGTGTAGATACTAGATAGTGCTAAAATACCCTACATTATAAACTACCTATATTAGCTTGGAGGTGTCGAATAAGAAGCTCACCTGGGGAAGGCAGATCTCCTTCTCGGGGTCTTGAACAAAACTGTAGGCTGCACGTGATCTATCCCATCTATATCCTCTGGGGCCTGCGGACTCTGAGACAGCTCTGCCTCTTTCCTCAACACAAAGGCTGTCAGGGCATCTTTGATGTCTTCATAGGGCTGTGGGAGGGAATGTTAGGGATTATTTCAATATTCTATTCATTTCTGAGATCCTGCACCTAACCTACACCAGTCTGTGCGCTGGGATCATAAACATATACACTGTATGTGGAATTTTAATTTCTGCATTGACTGTTACCACCTACGAAGTTATAATGAAAGAAATAATGAAAATGGGTTCTGAACAGGTTTTACTGTGATCCATACTTTCATAAATTCTGAGTCACTGGGTGCGGGTAACATTTGTCTGGAGCTGAAGATGTTACCTGCACCAGTGCAGGTATGTAATAAAGTATTTTGACTAGAGCCCTGGATTCCAGCCTTCACTGGGCCTTTCCCAATGCTACCCTACCTCAGCATGAGCTGTCACGGCCATCTCAAACATGGACACCACACGGTGGTCGTCCCCCTGCGCCTCGGCCAGCCTGGCCCGGCACAGCCAGTACTGGGAGTGCTGCACACACTGGGGGATGGAGCTGAACACAGTGTCCAGGATACCGCTGATGTTGTCTGATGGGTAACCCTGGACACAAGGAGAACAGACATTTGGGCCATTTTTTCTGACAAATTTTTTCATCATCATCGCCTCTAACATCTGTTGACAATGCGAGCCACCACTGCTTTCCACTCTAGCTCTTCTGTCCAGTGCTTGTCTGTCAACAAATTCTTTACACAATTGTCAAGCGACTCAAACACAATGGTAGTGTCTTAGATCAAAGCAAATACTTGCATCATTGTTGCTTGCCAGCTGTGGAGTACAGAGGCTTATAAAAGACTATAGTATTCTAATATGTCATAAAATTATGAAAACAGAGATGAAATATTTGTTGCAAAATATAGTGTAATATAGTAAATTCACCTCATCAATTGCAGACATACACTCCCGGAAGATGGCTTCCAACTCCAAGGTCACTATATCCTTCCCAGCATGCTCCTCTTCCTTCCCAGCATGCTCCAGGCCTGGCCAGAAGGGCGCAGCACTTCTCCGTTTCCTCAGCTTCCTCCGGGCAGACCCTGGAGCCGGGGTCCTGAAGGTCAGGATACTGTTGAACCTGGATGGTGTCTTCCCCTTTTCCTTCAGCCACTGTTCTAGCTTTTGTCTGTGAACAAACCACACCATGGAACTTGGTAAGCACAACAAGTTTCATAGTTTTGGAAGCATTTGTGTTTATGTACCAAAACAACTAATAACAAATACCAAAAACACAGAATAATGCATCTTTGAGTACATCAATTTGAAAGAACTATGTTATATAATATTTCTTACCTCATCGACATTTTCTTTGGTACAGCTGCTGCTGCTGCTATGATGTCTAAGTCGTCATCATCCTCTTGACTGTCAGTTCCATTCTCCATGTTTAGACCAGCCTCCCCATCAGTAACATGTATGAGTGGTGTCACAGCTGTGTTGGCTGCAGTTTCAGTTTCAGGAACATTCAGGGCATCTGGGTGAGGAGGGAGTGCTGTGGTGTCATCTGTCAGGTCTTCAGCACCTGGACTGCTTAGTTCTGTGAACTGTTCTTCAAAAGTTACCTGCTTCATGTCCTGACTTAGATCATGCTCAGTTGCCATGTGGTTAGGTTGAGCTCCATCCTCCTCCTCCTCTTCTTCTACTGGAATATCTTCTTGGTTGTTCTCCAGGATACCAAGCTGGGGAATGACTTCTGGATCAAACTCTTTGAAGTTGTCCTGGTTGTTCTCCATGTTGTTCACAGGTGGTTGCAGTTCTTTCATGTTTTCTGGATCCTCGTGGTTGTCCCCATCATTGCCGAATTTTGCAAGGTTGTCCTGGTTGAACTCAATGTCGACATTTTCCAATGGTTGTAGTTCTGCAGTGTTGTCCACATCATTGTGTGCCAGTGGCATGACTTCTTGGTTGTCCTCAATGTGCAGTTTTTGGTTGTCCTGATCCTTGGCGCTGTTCTGAGCACCAGGACCAGCTGCAGCCCCTGCGTCCATGGCCAGTCTCTTCCTGCTGCGGGTTGTAGCCCCGTGGTGGTGGTTACAGCACCTTGTCAGGGGCTGGGAGAGCAGGTTAGTCTTACTGGCACTGCACGGCCGCCACGGGGGTCTTTTGCTGCAAATACAGACAGAGTCAGAGATGTCTCAATATTAAACCTATTTGAGTATACATTTGTACATTGTAGTAGGAGCTATCGTATATAAAGGAGTATGTTTTCAAAATATTTATCATGGATCTTACAAAACATACTAGTTTTGATGAAATGGTTGTCCGTAACTGAATGTATAACAAGCGGCTGCTGATGTGTAGAAAGGTGAACACGGCTTATTTATAAAGCTTCTATTCAACTGGTTTTTCCCTTTCTGAGTTTCTCATAAGTACATGTACTTCATGTCTCTCTATCCAATTTCAAGTCAAGAACCAAGAAGGCAAAGATAACCAGATGTACCTTGTACTCTCCCTTTCTTGCTTCTTTTTCTTCTCACTACGCCACTGCTCAAACCTCTCCAGATAGCTAAAAATAAAAACATACATCATGAAATCAACATGTTGCCACTTGAACCTTTCAATTTCAAGTTTCACTATCATTCCTTCAAACTCAAAGATTGCCCAAGGTAAATTCCTGCATGTAGTACTCAATATGTTTCCACAACAGATTCCAGTTACACTACTAATTATAATATAGAGGAAAAGGCAAGCCTAATAATGAGACAAAGGAAAACAACAGGGACCATCCATGCACATTTGTTACCCTGGCTCCTCACCTGTCTTCCTGTGCTGCATTTTCCTTCTGTTTTCTTTTGACAGCAGATGATTTCCTGAAATGGATAAAGTCAATTTACTTTTGAATTAATTTTCAATTTAACTGGAAGAAAATTATTTGCAGATTAAATATCAATTTCACAAAACTGGCACAAAATGGCAGAACTGACTATATTATATATCAAAAATTGTTTTTTTTTTCTGAAATGACATTTACAGGTAGTCCAAGGAGGTTATCCAAGAAAAATCCTAGGCAGAATTAAAAGCAGAATTAAAACCTGCATAAAATCTTTGGTACTGGTAAGGTATAACTGAATAAGTATTCATAACTCAGTGTGGCCCTATGCAATAGTGTAGGCAGAATTATAATTGACTTTCTCAAGCTCAGGCCAGGGAGTCATACTTGGTAGAGGTTGTCCTTGAGGGTGGAAGGTTGGCCTTGGTGCCGTGTTGTATAATACCGGGAGTCAGGGGTTCCCTTCCCGGCTTGTGCTGCCGACCTCTAGCCTCACGCCACTTCTGTAGCTGCTCCAAACGTAGCTCTGTGTGGGAAAAAATATTCAGCAAGCATGTTATGAATTTACCTCAAAATTTTTATTGCTCTATAAAAGTATAATTTCTACAACTTCAGAAATTATGGGCTTCCTTCAAGATTACCCAGCATTATCTCTGTTCGTAAGCAATTCACTGTGAAGAAATATCAAACTAGCTGTTTGGAATAAAATAAATTAAACTCGCAAAATTATTGGCTGGCATTTCTTTCAATGCTTTCGGCTATATAAACGCAAACGGATAAAAATTATTCAACATGGCGCATGACGCCGCTTGGTCAACACACAATTGTCTTCAACAGTAAAAATAACATGAAGTTTCAGCAAAAAATTAGTCTCAAAGTAGCTGCCAGTAAAACACTTTCTTAAACGATCGGCTAAATACTTTCTTTTGCGGTTTAAAGAGCAGGAAAACATTTTTACCTGCCGCAGACTTGCTGTTTGTGCCCTCTTTTTCCGCCATGTTTTCAAACTCGAATACTGCTCGACTCTGATTGGTCAATTATATTCACATGGTTAGCTACATTTAGAGAACGGGGGTGAGATAAAACAAAACATGTCTTTTCAATAGATAATGAAAAGGACAATTCATTTGTTTTAAGAATGGAATTTAATAGTAAATATTTCTTATATTTTTGGATATTGTTTGCGCCATTTTAGTGAATGCTGCACACATTATTGCGCGCTTTGAGAATACCTAAATCAGCAATGGACTAGTCTATGCTTGAGAAGGGATCTGAAGGGATCAAAGATGGCATCGCCAAAGCTGACATCTCAGTGTTGTCTTCCATAAATCTTTGCTGCCCAGCTCCACGTGGCCGGATTGCTAACTCGCTGGTTCTTGTGTCTCTGTCACAAAAGAGATCTGACCCCTGATCTAGGCTGGCACGACCGGGGCATGGCAGGAAGGCAGAACGCGCCTTTGAATCGCAGTAGGAATGGTGGGTGGGGGGTGGCAGTGTGAAATTATTCCAAGTATAACTAAACTGCTACTCAAAATTACAATGCACACCCCGCCGCAGCGCAGTCGATAATCTACCTCCTCGCGTATGCCGGATTTAGAGAGTCCTCGGGCGTCATTGAGAATCTTGGCGAATGGAGCTCGTGACCTCGGGGTCAGATAATCTTCGAGGCGCACAGAGAGCTGGCACAGACGCACGTACAACTGTAGACTCCCTCTGGGTTATCAACGTTACGGTCGCCTGGCGGTTCCCAAAGCGCCGCGGCTGGCTATTACCCGGCTTCCTCCAATACACATCATCAATCTGCCCCCCTTTTCATCCTGCACTTCGCTGCAGACGATAGACTCTCTCACAGATCTCTCTCTCTTCTCAATTTCATCTCAGTGCTAAAATTTACGTTTGAATTGAAAGATGAGGCAGAGTGTGGAGGTGGACCATGCAGGAATCATCCTCTCAGATGTCACGGCAGCTTGCAGGTAGATTATTGGACAATATGTAATTTCAGTACTGTAGCAGCATCAATCCCTCAGTAGTGAGACCACTCTCTCTCGTAAGCCACACACATCGCGGAGAGCCGGCTGGCCACATCAGCTGTTGCATCTCCTCTCTCCATGACGACGGAGGGGAGGCAGGGGGAGCCAAGAACAATGGCCAGGCTGTGCCGGTACAACCGGGTCTTCCTGCTGAAGATGTTCCTGGGGCTGCTGGCAGTGTCGGGGGTGTACTTCTACACCTACCATGTGCTAGAGTGGGGGACAACGGTGCGCAGCAGCAGCAGCAGTAGCAGTGGAGGGTTTAAGGTGGGAGAGTTCGCCAGCAATCCTGACCTGCAGGAGGCTCTGAGGCTGATGAGGGAGGAGCAGGAGGAGGAAGAGCAAGAGCAGGTACCAACATCTTCTTTTTCTTGTTATCATTCGAATCCGCTGCAATTAATTTTGCTTGGTCATACAACATGCTACAACATTTATTGTACTTTCATTTTAGGTTTTGGTTACTAGTAAATTTATGGTTTTTCTGACCAATAAATGCATCTGATTAAATACTAGTAGCTAACTGTTACCAATTCATGTACATGACATATGATACACAACATCATTTATTTGTTATCAATGAAATCTAGCTCGATTAAGGTTTTGTTTAATTTCAATTTGGTTGTTCAACATGTGCAACATGCTACTTTTTATTTTTCTAGGTGTTGCAAAAATTAACCAAAAATTAAATAAAGGTATAATAGGCAATAATATTCCGGTATATTTGGTGTTTCCCTTGTGCAATTTGTCTTTCAGCGACATTGACCTTTTCCATGTCCATGTGGCTCTACAATAAATTTGATGGCTGAGCTACCAACAGACTGTAAAATAAATTGTTGCTTGTAAAATTGGATGCCAGATGTGCGTGTACTTTGGGAGGCTGATGTGTAAAAAATATCCCCTCCATGAGTCTCGAGAGATTAAAATCCCCTTAACTGATTCTGTCCTCAGAGTAGCTGTGGTCGATAACCGCACACTTAACTTCTCAGTTTGTGTTAGAACAGATAGATGTACCCTTGACTCATAGCCAATTGCAGGCTTCCACAATCAATGCTCCCCATGGAAATCTGGCCTTTGATAGTTCATTCGGATACAGACAACGTTGTCACAGTGCGCACACACAGTTCAGTTACCCCTGCAGTGCCAGGTCTCCCGAGTCACTCCAGCAAATGAAGGAAAGTCAAGGTCATAATTGTAATTGACTTGGACCTTTGTTGGATGAGCTCCACTGGACTCTGGTCTGCTCCTTCAGCACCCAAAGGACCAAGCCAGGGCACTGATGAAGTATCCCTGTCTCTGATCAGAGGAGACATCTCTGTTCCTTACTGACAGGTCTGATGAGTCTTGCGCTGGAGAGCAATTACTGTTTAGAACTGAAATTGTATATCACTTTATTGGACACATTTTTCTATGTGATGAATTGCGTTAAGACCTTTTGGGGGTTTGAATTTAGATGACACAGTAAAATAATTGTAGGTTTGGAAGCAACTTAAGGTATTAATAAGTAATTAAAAATTTGTAAAATAACAATCCAGGTACAAACTGGCTTTTATCTTCTGATGAATTTGTTCTTCTTTTTCTTTCATTTATAGATGTAGCAATTTAAATTTAGTTCTGGTGGTACTTTTTGCTTTTCTAAACTGCGAACGGTGTCAACCGGTACCTGTTTTTCAACTGCAACTAGTTGGAATTGAAAGGGATGGCTGAAAATCACATGAAACAGATCGGGAGAGTTATGATTTATATGTTGTTTTGAACTTTCTGAAATATGCCTTCAATTTGTGTCTAGCAGATATTATAGTACATACCTGTACAGCAGACATCAATATCTGTCAGTGGGAATGGCACACAGCTATATATCATTTACCTAGTGACTGTGATACATTCTTTAGCCTTTCCTCAAGAGCTTTGCTGCTGTTAGGAGGGCATACTTTTAGAGTGACTGAGTTGGGACTTTTGAAGGAGAAATCTGGGTATAAAAATCAATACATGAACATTTATCAACAGCAATAAGTAAGTGAAAGTCTGGCTGAACTTAATATAATTACACGTGAGTCTCATTAATAACCTTGTCATCATTAGCTCTTTTCAATTCCAGAAGAACTTTTGGCTGTCAGGTACTCAGACTCAGAGATACTTTGCGGCTGTTTTTAATACTTCTGTTACGCCGCTCGCTGCGAAAAGCTAATTATTGTCTACTTCCCGCTGTGGTCTGTCTCCATTGCTGCCGCGTTAATTGCCTTCTTCTTGCCACCGTTGGCTGATTCATAACAAGCTGAACTTTATTTATGATAATCTCCCCCTCCTGTACAGCCCACATTAGCCACACCTGTGTGACACTGCAAGGTGCGTGATTGAGATAAAACCCTCCAGCAGCACCCAACACTAGTTAAGCTATATCCGTCCCATCCATATTAGCACATCACAAATTCCCCGCCGCAAATAATACTACCAAAAGCTGCTCTAAACTGCACTGGGCTGTCATCAAGGTGAAATTAGATTAAGATGATGGTTATGTGAGCCTTATGGCAGGG